GAATTTTCGGTGTATTTTTTGGATTTTTAATTTATTTATTATGAATTTTAGAAGTAAAATCATGAAAAATAATATTAAATATAATAGGCAACACGTGGCAGAAACTAAAGGTGGCGCCGTCAGTGTTTTCCAAAAGGTGGTGTAACAGGATTGCACCACATGTCATTTTGATTAATTTTTCAAGTTTATCTTTATAAAAAAAAATTAAAAATAAATCATAGAAATACACCCAAAATTGCTACAAACTCCTCATGACATCATCCTCGATTATGGAGATCCAAAATTATGATTTCACATATTTGAGTTCAAGGTAGTTGTTGGATCAAAGAACATGAGTGTTAAGTTACAAAACATCAACTAGTGGTTTATATTGTTTTAAAATAAATTTGAGTTTACATTATCACTTTACATTTTTCTAAGTGAAAATTTTGCTTTTATAGTTTGAGGGTGTAGAGAATGTCACAAGGAGTTCTTAGGAATTTTTGGTGTATTTTTTGGATTTTTAATTAATTAATTATGAATTTTATAAGTAAAATCTAGGAAAAATAATATTAAATAGTATATGGCAACATGTGGCAGCAGCTGAGCGTGGCACCGTCAGTGTTTCCAATAGGTGGCGTACCACGATTGCTCCACATGTCATTTTGATTACTTTTCCAATTTTATATTTTAAAATTCTTTAAAAAATAATTAAAAATCAGAAAAATACACTGAAAAATGCTAAAAAATCCTCAAGATATCGTCCATGATTATGGAGGTCTAAAATCATGATTCACGTATTTGAGTTTAAGGTAATCGTTGGATTAAAGAACATGAGTATTATGTTATAGGACATCAACTAGTATTTTCAATTACTTAGAAACAAAGTTGAGTTTTTGTTATCACTTTACATTTTTATAAATAAAAATTATATTTTTAGAGCTTGATGACGTAGATAATGTCACAAGAAGTTCCTAGGAATTTTCGGTGTATTTTTTGGATTTCAAATTAATTTATTATGAATTTTAGAAGTTAAATTCAAGAAAAATAATATTAAATCATATTAAGCGACATGTGGCAGCAGCTGAAGGTGGCGCCGTCAGTGTTTCACCCAACAAGTGGCGACCCACAATTGGTCTATACCCTTTAATATTATTTTTCTAGTATTTAAATTTTAAAATGCATAATAAATAAATTAAAAATCATAAAAATACACTGAAAATTACTACAAACTCCTCACGACATTATCCTCGATTATGGAGGTCCAAAATCATGATTTAACATGTTGGAGTTTACAGTAATCGTTTGACCAAATAACTTGAGTGTTATGTTATGAAACATTAACTAGTGTTCTAGATTGTTTAGGAACAAAGTTAAGTTTTTGTTATCAGTTTATATTTTTATAAGTGGAAGTTATATTTTCAGAGCTTGAGGACATAGAGAATGCCACAAGGAGTTCATAGGACTTTCTGATGCATTTTTTAGATTTTTAATTTATTTATTATGAATTTTAGAAGTTAAATCCCAAACAATTAATATTAAATTATAGGAAATCACACGTGGCAGTCCCTAAAGGAGAGCTGTCATTGTTTTTGACAGATGGCGTCCTACGATTGCGCCACATTTTATTATTATTGTATTATTATTTATCCTAAATTATTATTATATTATTTGGATCATGAATTATTATTATATTATTATTTAACCTAAATTATTATTATATTATATTTAACCCTAAATTATTATTATATTCCTTTTTACCATAAACTATTATTATCTACCCTTAATTATTATTATATTAGTTTTTACCCTAAATTATTATTATATTTCCTTTTACCCTATATTATTATTATATTGCCCACCTCTGTACCAAATTTTTGTTTTATTATTATATTGCCTTTTATCCTAAATGATTATTATTTTGCAATGTCACGTGGATTAAAATGAAAAATATATATTTTAAACATAATTTAAATTAAAAAATTTGTATTACAAGCTAAAAGATTTTTTT